TTAGATTATATTTTAAAAATTTCTAATAATCGCATTATAAATAATCGATACATTTTAATATTTAGAGTGTACTGGCAAAAACAATGCGTGCGTCAACGTGAACTTTTGCTGCGACAGAAAGGCAGATGGTTTTCTTTATATATATATATTAAATCGTTGTGGTGTAATGTGATAGTATAGTACTTGTCAATTTAGCATAATTTTGAGCACTTTTCTTTCCGGATCCGTGAGCCTTTTATAACTTTATTTGTCATTTACTTATACAACTGTTTACAAAAAATCCTACTGTTTACAAACTTTTGTGTTACATACTTAATTAATAGGTGTCTTCTTATTAACTCAATAACTGTTACACAATAGAGATTTTTGCTGTCAATAGACAACTTGCATGTTAGACAAATTTTTGATCTAACCGATCTAGGCAAAAAAAAAGTAAATTCCCGTTAAGAACTTATTAAAATTAGTAAACTTGCAAAATTTGGTTGCGAAATGTTGTAAAGCTTGGAAAATATAGCCTTGCAAAGTTTGCATATTTTCAGTATATTTGTATTACGTGCGGAAATTTTGAGCCGAAAATGGTAACAATTTCCGCTCGTATAATGAAATATAATGAAAATATGCAAACTTTGCAAGGCTATATTTTCCAAGCTTTACAACATTTCGCAGCCAAATTTTGCACTTTTACTAATTTCAGTATGTTCTTTTTAGCTGTGGTGTTTGATTCCCTTTTCTATGCTTAGATTAAAATTTAGTCTAACATGCAAGTTGTCCATTGCACTAGCTAGAATTAGCATTTTAATAATAGCACATCCTTTTAATTTTTAAACTAGGAGAATAGTTTCGTGAAGAAATTTATTTATCTTATACCATAAACTTCCGATTATAAGTCCCCGAATATAAGCGGCCCGACGTCTATGACCCCGTCACATTACTAACGTTCACACCATTCGATATACTAGCCCGTAATCATAATCAGAAGTTTATGGTATAAGATAAATAAATTTTCTCACGAAACTATTATGTGCTATTATTAAAACGCTAATTCTAGTGCAATTGACAGCAAAAATCTTTATTGTGTAACAGTTATTGAATTAGTAAGAAGACACCTATTAAGTGTGTAACACAAAAGTTTTGGAAACAGGTAGGATTTTTTTGAATTGTTGTATAAGTAAATGACAAATAAAATTATTAAAGGCTCACGGATCCGGAACTTAGAAAAGTGCGCAAAATTATGCTAAATTGACAAGTACTATAATACACCACATGGCCTCACGATTTAATATATAAAGAAAACCATCTGCCTTTCTGCCGCAGCAAAAGTTCAGTTTGACGCACGCATTGTTTTTGCAATTACACTCTAAATAAAATGTATCGATTATTTATAATGCGATTATTAGGAATTTTTAAAATATAATTTTTGCGTCTCTAGCAATTCAATCTGCGCTATAAAAGTCAATTAATTTAAGACAAACAAGCGAATATACGCGAATATTATGGTGAATATACGGCCTCCAATACAGCACAGTTTACTGACTAAGATGCGGCGAATTCGATCCTCGGCTTGCGTCATGTGATATGTTCTAGAGGTCTGGACACGAATGGATTTGGCCGGGGGGTTATCTTGTGTTAGCTTAATTAATATTGGCGGAGATTTGACGCTATCGTTCAACTCCGCCAATATTCAACATGTGGTAATTTTTTTCAACATATTTTGAACGTTGAAGTTGTGATGGGTGCTAAATTCGCGGCATGTTCAATGTCCGGTTTAACTTCAATGTTAAAAACACATGGGTGTTCAATGTCATATTTAACTTCAATGTCGAAAATATGTTGAATGTTTTGCATGTTCAATGCCAGATTTATCTTCAATGTCGAAAGCACGTAGGTGTTGAATGTCCTATTTAACTTCAATGTCGAAAATATGTTGAATGTTCTGCATGTTCAATGTCAGATTTATCTTCAATGTCGAAAGCACGTAGGTGCTGAATGTCCTATTTAACTTCAATGTCGAAAGCATGATATACATGAATATTGGCGGTGATATGACGCCATATAGTACAACATAAGTTTTGGGACTGTCAAAATGTTTTATAGTATATATTTTTTAGTTGAACGGCGAGGTTTCCTTCGGCACGTCCAAACTTTCGTCATTTCTTCAAAATACAAAAGCAAAACTCCTTACTTTTTGCTGCAGGGAGATGTAAAACAGTTGGAACTAATCGGAAAATCTGGTTTAAATCCCAATCATTGTTGTATTCCCATGAAAAAAGTGTTTTTCTTGCAAATTTTTGCTCGAAAACAAACTTTTGGCAGAATTTTTTTCACTCCTCGAAACTCTCCTTAGTCTTTTTGAAAGCTGATTTTCCCGCGCGCCTGCTTCAACGAATTATAGACTTTCATCCACTGAGCTATACTATATTACTGGAGGACCTGCTCGGCATGAAAGAGTGTCGCCAAAAACATGGCGGCGCTTACGCCATTTCCATGACAACTGGTCCGAAGCACTGAGCTATACTATATTACTGGAGGACCTGCTCGGCATCATCCAGTGAACTCTAATAATAACTGGAAGGCTAACTCCTATGATGAAAGTCTATGATTCGTTGAAGACGGCGCGCGGGAAAATCAGCTTTCAAAAGGACTAAGGAGAGTTTCGAGGAGTGAAAAAAATTCTGTCAAAAGTTTGTTTTCGAGCAAAAATTTGCAAGAAAAACACTTTTCCCATGGGAATACAACAATGACTTGGGATTTAAACCAAGTTTCCGATTAGTTCCGACTGTTTTACATCTCTCTGCAGCAAAAAGTAAGGAATTTTGCTTTTGTATTTTGAAAAAATGACGAAAGTTTGGACGTGCCGAAGGAAATCTTGCCGTTCAACTCAAAAATATATACTATAAAACATTTTGACAGTCCCAAAACTTATGTTGTACTAAACCCCAGGTATTGTTATTGATCCTGAGCTTTTAGTCCTTGTTTTAGTCGCTCTTAAACATAAATAAATTGGCGTTTTTCAAGTGATGTTATTTTCGTCATCGGCATCTTGTTGGCCACTATGAGCACTTTGAATATGGCAATATTTTTGTCAATTTTCAAATGCTTTTTTTTCGACTTTAAAACGTTAAATCTTCTTGAAACTTCGCATACAGATGTATTTTGCATGGGTATAAAAAATTCCTGAGGTATGACGTCTTAGTTTTATCTTAAACTTCCAAAAACTCAGAAAAAGCAGCCTAAAACGCGCGGTTTTTCAGACCGTTCATGCTTATGGTCGTGTTTTTAGCATTTGTTTTGCTAATTCGTGATTTGTTTGCTTTGCGAATATTAAATTCATTTATCATACTACTAATATAAATTAAATTTGGTAGTATAACTAATATTTTTGGGCAAGATTTTTCTGATCAAAAAATGTGCATATTTTGAAAAAAAAAATTAAAAAGGACTGGGTCTACCTACAAAAAAAGCTTCAAGCACGGCTTCAATTTCCCCCCCTGACTTAGCCTTCCAGTTATTATTAGAGTTCACTGGCATCATCAAGTGAAGCCGAAAACATGGCGGCTATTACGCCATTTCCATGACAACACTTACTTTATTTTCATGGTAACTGCCACTGACCAACCGCGATCCTAAGCTTCCGACGATGTCCTTAACCCCCCTGGTTTTTGGGCAAATATTATGATATTATTAGATATAAAGTTTTTTCTCGAGTTTTCTGTTGTTTTTGGACCCTTTTTGAGCTAAAAAATCTTAATATTTCCCTCGAACATTACTTGTTTTACAACGCGGAGTGAGGGTGCGGGGTTTGCTTCGCTTGTGGATGCAGCATTTCACCACAAAGACTACAAAGAAAGACTAATTCTTTCAGGTAAGATTCACGAAACTTTTTTATAACTTTCTAGACGGCTAGAGTCACTAGACCCTTTATATTATGTCAAAAACTCATCATCCTAATATATACAGCAAATATTTCAATAGGGGACATAAAAGTATTGTTAACGATTAAACATTGTGTACATGAAATTGTTGTTTTGTGTCAGCACTGACCTTTGTGGTTTTATTGCCAGTTTTTAATTTATACTAAAAATTGTGGTTGTTTACATGTTCATATATTTTAAAACGTTTATTAAATATGGTGTGAAATTTATATACTTGCCCATCACAGTGCAGAATTAGTATATATAGATAAGCACAAGACCAGAGAGAGAGTTGAGCTGTGGAGGAGGCCCACCTACGTGTGACAATGCATGTGCCCTAGTGTCCTGATGAGCCCTAAAGACTGTCATTATTTTACTCTGTCTGTCTACAGACGATTTTAAGGGGATTGAGACTGCTCCCTGCTGCCACGCAGTGGGTTAATTACACTATCTGCAAATGAGCAGCCTGAGATATATAGTCAGCCCATTAAGCTGCAATGAACCCTGGCAGTACTTTCTTATTTTACTCAATCTGTGAGATTAAATCCAGATGTTTTACTCATAATTTTACTAAAAATAGATATCATTTTGCCATTGTCTGTTCAGAACTATATAAAACTATATAGTTTTACACAGTATGATGTCATAGTTACATGGCAAGAACAACGTTGCCCACAAGCTGCCGGGATTTAAGTGAGTCACTGATACACTAATCATGAGGTAAATTCGGAATGCTACAACATTTCTAACAATTAGGGCGGATTTTTATTTATTTAAAGGAGGGGTAGAAAAATTTCTGGTGGGGTGCAAGCAGCACCACTCAGTTAGCTTTGGCAGGGGTTAGGCGTTTGGGTTAAGGCCTTTCGAACAAAATAGGAGGGTTGAAGCAGAATTTTTGGTGGAGTTGAACACTTTATTAGAGGGGTTTAACCCCCCCCCCCAAGTAAATCCACCCATGATTTCTAACATTGGGAGTAGTGATGTCCGATTGGCCATGACACAGCCTGTGAGAAATTATGATGAAATTTGCTCACAATAGTTAAGTTTGACATATTTTAGCAGTTAGGAATGTAATTGCATTGCTGAATATTGAAACATGACACTTAATTTTGAAGCTCAGATCAATGGTCTTGGTAAAAACAGATCGTGTAATTGCACTCTCCCCTTGACTAGTAAAATTGTCTGGCGTTAGGTAGATTAAAATAATACAGTAAGGCATATCAAGACACATTGCCACTTGTGAAGGGTTAACATATGTGTACTGTATATGATATTTTTGTGATGTAAAGATGTATAATGTATCATGATAATGTCATTTTTTATTTTGCAGAAATTATATGCATGTTTAGTATACACAAGAGATGGCACTGCGGCATCAACAGGCAGAAAAACATGCAGAACAACAAGATGAATTAGTTAATTATAATACCATGCATAACAACATAAATAATTATATGATTATGATAACTTTATTGAAGTGTAAATAAGTTTTTAATTATAGCAATTAAAATTATACATTTTTGTTTTTTAAATTGTTTACTGCTAATAATTTTTCAAAAAAGTCAAATACACCCTTCCGGAATGTATTTCACCTTGGCTATCACAGGAGCCTCATTTTCATGTATGTGGCATGAGTTAAAGTCCAATGACTCAATCGTGAAAATGAGTGCCAAGGTGACATAATTTCTGGAAGCATGTATTAAAATACAGTTGTCAGTTCAGTTTCCAAAGATATGTGTGGCTTGGTACTGTAACTTGCCACCCAGATAGGGGAGTGTCATTGTGGAATAAATCTGCAATAAACAAGAGTAGATTAATCATGTAGGTTGTACAAAAATCCACCAGTAACATAATTAGCATATGGATATGATCAAGGTAAACAATAAAACAAAAGAATGTGACCTAACTTCTCAGCTTAAACCAGGGGTATCAGAACTATGAATGCACTTATAAAGGTACATTGCTCATTCAGAGTCATATTTTAATACTGAGAAAACTTGTAAGAAAACAGGCCATCCTGGAAATGAAGTTTATGTCTGTTTATAAAACGAGACCTCAGGAGTCAACCTTTTAAACATTATTACACTAGACAGTTCGCACTTTAAAGACCGTCGTAATCCTCGTATATGTGACTGAATATCGATCAAAGCTTCGTAGTTTGTAACCAAATATTTTGCGATTATGAATCACACCATAGATTGTAAAATTTATTTTATTATCCATGATCACACTTACACAGCTTGCTAAAATTAGTAAAATAGTGGGAAATTTTACACTTTACCATGTGTATTTGTACTATTACATACGAAGTTGTTTTATTAATAAATAGACTTGAAAATATTAAAGGTATAAAGTCTAAATATTTATAAAAAATTGAAATATGAAAATTTGTCTCTTAATACCCTTCGTATAAAATCCATATTCAAGTCTTTTCCCACATTTCTTGAGGTTTTAAATTTGTTTGTCGTCTTTCACGGGCGAGAATAACACGTACGACTTGCATATCTTTGTCCAAATAGTCAAAAGTAGAAAATTTATATCGAAAAAATTTTAAAAACCGATTCAAAACCACGAGAACTATAATATTTGCAAAACTTTTTTGCAAAAACCAGGGGGGAGTGAAAACGGCCGTGGGCTCAGAATTGAGCCTGGTCAGTGGTACCTACCATGAAAATAAAGTAAGTGTTGTCATGGAAATGGCGTCATTTTCACTCAAAATCCGCCATGTTTTTGGCGACACTTTGTTGACTGAACGAAGTATAGGAGCAGGTCCTCCAGTTATTATACAGCTCAGTGGGACCGCCCCTGGCAAACTCTGATTGCCAGGTTACCAAATAATCCAAAAATCTTGGATTATTTGCCGACCTGCCCTTTTTTAGCAATGGCATAACGCGGGGGGGGAAGATTCATGATTCAAAAATATTTCACAAAGACAAGTTTTTATCACGGTCAGCTGTTTACAAGGATTTTTATTGTGCCTGAAATAAACATTATAAACATTATAAATAGGTTCAGTTATGATATACGAATCATATTGCACAACTTTGAACTTCCACACAACATGTAAAATGACGTTTTCATACAAATTGACCTAAACTTGAAAAAGTGTCTGCCAACAATTAATCAAGATGTCATTTAGAATCCATCTCAATTCTCGCCTAATTTCAACCATTCAGACTTCTGTACATGTTTTTTGTATTTGTTATTGTTTTATGCTGTGCTTACAGCCATTCTTTTTGAGTCTTGTGCAAGATTCTTATATAAAGATTTGCGAGAGTCAAAATCGGTGACACTGCCAAAAAATCCGGAAAAAATCCAGAAAAAATCCATGAAATCCTCAAAATCCGTTGAATCCATCAAAATCCAAAAAATCCTTTAAAAACCGCAGAAATCCTTCAAAAATCCACAGAAATCCTTCAAAATCCTTAAAAAATCCGCAAATCCACAAAAAATATATGAAGTACTTGGTGTTAATTTACTCGTAAAGGTTCTTTGCCACGTTCAAAATGGCGGACAGCGAAAGCTAAACGCTTACCGTGATCGCTGTCATTATATTTCGTAATTATTGGACCACTCTACATTTCCATTTATACGCTCGAGTATACGCTAAGTTTTTTAGCATATTACAACTAAATATTTGTTCTTGTTACAATGACGTTATGTTGTAAAATATAATTACCAAACCAAAAGTTTACATTCACCATTGTCTTTTACTGTTTTTGAAAAAATAATGAACTTGTTTGAATTTTAAACAAAATGACTGCATGCCCAGCCCAGCCTTCGTTAGTTTCGGAAGGTTGTGGTCCTAGTCCCAGTCCTCTGCTCGACCCTGACGTCCTGGCATAACGTTGACGTCGTACAACTTGGGATTATTTGTTCAAAACGTTACCTAGCTCTATAACTCTATTATTTAAAAAAATTCAGAAAAAATCCGAACAAATCCGGAAAATCCAAACAAATCCGGAAAATCCAACAGATTTTCAAAAATCCAGAAAAATCCGAACAAATCCGGAAAATCCCAACAAATCCGGAAAATCCAACAGAATTTCTCTTCAAAAATCCGCTAAAAAATCCGGGAAAAATCCGCTAAATCCGCAAAAAAATCCGCGGATTTTTAAAAATCCGAAAATCCCGTACGCTTTTTTGGAGTGAAATGCCCCTCGACTATAGGTGCCATCTTGAAATAGTCACTCCAGTTAAAAAAAGAGGTCAAAGACTAAGATATATGATGTATACAGCTGTCGCTGATTGGTTAAAAATATATATTATGTTCTAACACTGTCACTGATTGGCTAGAAACTAACAAACTCCACTAACATAGTTAACTCGCGTCTTGACAGTATACTGTATCTGTATGCGCAGATACAAATTAAAATAGCAGGTACAACAGGTTAACCAAATTACTGTACTCCCGTCAATAATTGATCATCACATAACATCTTAATTGCAAATTTATTTCTTGTTTTGTTGCTACCTATGTTTTATTAATAGGCAAATAGTCCACCAGGCCAGTTTTACAAAAAAGAAGAGCTGCAAAAACCGGAAAGTAGGAGCAAGAAAAAAAGAAAAGGCAAAGATAATAAGTAAGTTTAATATGACTTATAATTCAACGTAATCCCTTCTATGTAGATTCATCAGTTGGCTTTAACTATGGCTCAAAATTCGTCAAATTCGAAGCTTTTTACAAGCTATTGTCAATTTGTACCCAACTTGTACCAATGTTTTACCAATCCAGATCCGATGTTTCACAAAGATGGCGAATAAGCTCAGCCGTTAGTCATGCACACGTCAAGAAGACACTGTAAATTGGTTAACCCGAGGGGTGGATAGACGTAGGGCTTGCATACGTACGCGTGCAGCCAGTTAGAGCATGAACGACTTGTATCATACAGTTTCGTATATTGAATGATTTCGTGCTATATTTTAAATACTTACGTGATTTGAAGCATAAAGATGAATCAAGGAGTATCAAATGTTGTTTCACCCCTAAACAGATCCTGTGTGTGTACTATATATATATTTTGCTCCACATTTTTAGAAATTCTACAGACAATGCTAGTGATAAATGTCTTACCGTCGTTTTCCACGCGATATTATCTGATAAATTTAAATTAAATAAGGGGACGAAGATTGTAATCCGTGGAGATGAGCCCGTTTTTGGTGGTTGGAAGAACGGCAGTGTTAATATCAAGACGGGAGAGTAAGTAAATCATATACATATACATATTCAAAATAAACTGAAATGGTTAAAAACATTTTTTGCAGTATTTCAACCTGAATAACGCTTAGCATTAAAATGTGTTAAATTAGGGTAACCCGCAAGTGTAGGTTATTAACAGCGGCGGATCTAGGGGTGATCAGAGCGTTCACGCGACCAAGGTAAAAATTGGCCAGAAAATTGTTAAATTAAAATAGCAGTCCAGTTATCAAACTTTGCGCAGTGTATTGTATTGAAAATTTAACAGTCCAGTTCTAAAATATCATCCAGTAGCAAGGCCTTCGAACATGAACGCGCAAAAAAGCGGTCTTACGCATGAGTTTTGCACGCTATGAGTTAGATTCCAGCCATCTGATTGGCTATCTCGATTTTTACGCGATCTGTGTGGAGTTCTGAGCGCTAAAGCGATCAGGGGCTCAAATGCAGGCTATCCGATTGGCTAATTCAAAAAAATCCTGAATTCCCGTTGGCTGGATTTTTTGATCGATCATACCGTTCACGCTAGTAGTATGCACGGAAAGGTCAATGTAGACTTGGATCAAGTCCGTCTCTCTAGAGTCCGAATTGCACCTCGCGCGTCCGATCCCTCGGACTCTTGAGAGACGGACTTGATCCAAGTCTAAGGTCTATGAGGTTGCTGGATCTTTTTGATCTAGCAGCAGTATTTATGTAAATTGACTGAAATATGTCAATTTCGTCTCTTATTATATGCGTACCCGCCGATTTTAAAGCATACATGGTGCGTTTTATAGCAATCGGAAAATTTATCGGAAGTTCTAAACTAATACTAACCATGCCTGTAGGTATTTACGAAACCGCAAAGGCTGCTTTAGAGAAAGAACAAGCACATGACAATGTGGCATGGCTTCGTGTGATACGATCTCACAACATGTGTACAACAAGTAAAATGGATCATGTTGCCATTGTGAATACTTATTCATAGCACATGTTTTCTGCTATGAATAAAACTCGAAAGCAGTGAATTAAACGTGGAAATTCTCTTCCTGCGAATTAACGATCAATCAAATGTTTGATAAAACTGCATCGCTATATTTGAAAATCTTTTGACCATTCATGTAAAAGGACAAAATATGGAGTTATATGTTTCCTAGGCATGCTGACGAGCCCTGACATTGGGCTACCCCTGTCATTTTTCACGTAACATTGTTTCGTAAACAGGACACAAATTAATTCGCTTTGCGATCCCCCAATATTCAAAACAACGAAATTTTTGACGAAAAATCCTAGATCCGCCCCTGGGTTATTTGTTATGGCGCCCGTTTTTTTGTAGACTGTACTGTAGTGTGTCAGATTTGGTTCAAATCAATGCCTACGTTGCGCGTTGCATTGTTTGGGCACCTGTTTTAGAAATCACGTTTTAAAAACTTAAAAACAAGAACTTTGAAATTTCTAATTAACAGCAAATATAATGTGTTTGCGGCCATGCGTGGTAAGTAAAGCTCGGATCAAACGAAGATGAGAGTGCATGCATGAATGTTGGCAGTCACGCGATCTTGGTTAGCTGTTCTTAATGCTTAACAGCATAATGATGTATTTAATTTAAGTTAAAAACATAGTTGGCGCACTCATTGAACCTTTATTTTGTTTATCGATAGTATTAGATATGTCCCTAGTAGCAATTCGTGACTACTCTCTCTCATCAGCTCTCATTCTCGTTTGTCCGGAGCTTAAGTGTTTGACCGGGGCTTAAGTTGTAAGTTGTGTGGGGATGTGATAATCATCCTTACTTGCAGCTGAGAGCCAAGCGGAATTGCAAAGGACGCATCTCAACCTGATCCAGTCGAAGGCTTTCTAAGGGATCTTCTGGCAGCCACTTTATGACTGATATCTGATCACAGAGCATAACTACGGCGAAAGGGCCAGTTTGGGGGTTATTCCAACTCACCCTGTTAACATTCCTTGTGGATGGAAACCTGGAGAAAACCCACGACTGACTCTTTTTACATGTCATGGCCATGGGTTTTACATGTCATGGCCATGGGTCTGCAGCGAGAATCGAACCCACGATCTCAGAGGTCTTCCTCTGATGTTTGCGCCGACATGATTTTATGGGATGTAAATGAAGGAAATGACAGATTACGAGCTAGACACCAAGTGTGAGTAAGTAGTACCAAGTTGGAATATGAATCGCATCTTTTGTTTTTATCCCGAATATCGTTTCCACCAGTGATGGGATGAATGGTTGACGCAAATTCGAATTTCCGTCGATAGACCAATAAAATTCCTGATAACAGGTCTGTTGCAAATCTGTTACCTAAACGCCTTCCAATTTCTGCGATATAAGGCATACAATATTTACGGCAAGAAATCCAATAAGTGAGTTTGGAGAAAAGCATGTGAAACTATGCGTAATGAGGAACCTGTTTTTTGGATCCGCAATGGAGGTAGTGGGGTCTGAATGTTTACAAATGTTGCACACATCACGACTACACTTGGAGGTGCCAAAGAGTGACACCAAATCTTATCGAAGTGAGTTGTGCGCAAGGGTTTCTCGAATGTCGAAAGGAATTATGGTCGCGTTTAAATTAATGGTACTTTTCTGTTAAAAATGTTGGCTAAAAGTTCTCTTAAGGTGTCGCCTTGTTTGATGACAAGGGGTAGAGCACAGATTGTCTGGAGGCCAGGCACAGCAAGCAAACTCTTTGTCGAAAACATCAGCCCCGTTCTCCTATGCGTATTGATGGATTTCGAAGCCTCGCACGACGTAGAAAAAGTAATTCATTAATATAGAATAAAGATTTGTATGTTCTAAGGCTCTAAAAAGGTTTAAATGTAGTATATTGCTCACAGGCTGTCAGAGAGTTTTTGTAGTACATGAAAGTGCATGTTTGCCATGTTGTTTATACGCCTGTAGTCTATGTGTTTTGCATATTATTTAATACGTCAATTGTACACCTGTTGATTAGTTTTCAACAGGGAAATATAAAATGCTTAGGGTTCATTATTTATCGGTTGGGAGGAGGGGGGCTGGTAAAATAATGGGGGGATATATTTTATGGGTGTAAAAGAGTGGTTTAAATCTTTTGAAGAAGTGTTTTGGGGAGACAATAAAATTTTATAGCATTGATATAAAGAAGATGGTATAGAGATAGTGGCGTAGCCAGCGTAAAAGGCGTTAGCCATTTTTGGGGAGGTCTGGGGGCATGCTCCCCCAGAATATTTTGAAATCTAGCGTCCCTGAAATGCGATTTCCTGCATTTTCGGGGTGCGAGTTTGCATAAGTCCGAAGACTGTATAATGCATAAAAGACATGATTTTTCGCGATGGAAAATGATGGTTTAAAATAATGCGAATTACTTTTAAAACCGAATGATGATTGAAAGTAAATATATTTTACATTTAAAAACCTAAATTAAACCCTTTCTTCTTGGGGCCATATCTACTTACTTAGGGACGGACCATTAGAAAAGTGATGGGGGGGGGGGGCAAAACCAAAAAAAAAATTTATTCCCAGAAAAAAATGAAAAAAAAAAATCTTTCAAGGCATAGTGCAAAAAAAAAAAAATTCCTTGCCTAGAAGATAGGCCAAGTGGTGTACTGGAGGGAGGGCTCAGGGGAGCTGAGCCCCCTTGTTGAAATTTCATGTTGACTTGGGGGGCTGCACGTTGGTCAAATTTAGCAAAATTTCTCCCACTCGTGCGGGTTCGTATTGACAGCGGACATCTTACAGAAAGTGGCCAGTTCTTTGAAAAATGCAAAATTTCAATTTTACACCGCAGGTCCACTGACAATATGAGCCTGCGATCCTGGGAGAAAATTTGCTGAATGTGACCAGCGTGCTGAGCCCCCCTATATTTTGGCAAGTTGCATAATTGATAATCTTAACAACGTGCGAAAACACACACAAAAAAATACCAGTAAACGAGAATGTTCTTTAGAATTGCATCTCATTTTCACTCATCATTTAACACAATGATTTTTGTAATCTTTATATCGCCATTTTTGTAATCTTTATATCATTTAGTACCACTAAATTGTAAATTTCGACATACTAAAACGCTGTTTTCTGACCATCAGAATTCTGTCAAATCTTCCCCAAAGTCCAGGAAATGGCATTTCAGAGACTCTAAATTTAAAAATTTCCTCGGGCCTTTGGCCCTCGCTTCGGCTTGTTTTTAATAAGAATAATGTCAAATGTTTGTCCCAGAATTACTAGAATAAACCCCAACAAAATTTAGAATTTCTAAAATATCTTATTGTACCTCCCCTCCCGCCAATTCAGGGCACTTTGGAGAGCCCCCCTTGTTAACATTCCAGGACTACACCACTAATAGGCCTATAAATTTCACTTAAAGGGCCCTACAGTCATTTTTTAGTCGAAAGCCACCTTAAGTAGGGGACTCCACGGAGATTCGTTTGGCTGTATCTTACATGCAATATCCATGAGTATGAGTACTTTCGCACACAAGAAAACGCATGCATACTGTGGTGCGCATGTTAAGTAGCGACAATAACAAAAAATGTAAACAATACTTACTTGACTAAAAAATTACTGTAGGGCCCTTTAAAAAAAAAATATTTTCAACCATCAAGTGAGAAAAAAAAAATATTTCTTCTATAGGTGTACAAAAAAAAAATATATTGCCTCTTAGAAAATCCCCACCCCCCCCCCATCACTTTTCTAATGGTCCGTCCCTTAGATAAGGTTATACACAATTATATTGTGGATTTTTATTTTTATTTCACCCCCCCCCTGTTGGCTAAATCCTTTCCAGCATCCCCAAGTTGAAGGTCCTTTCTAAGCCCCTGGTTGTAAAGAGCACACAAAAGAATAAGATGGGAAGAACTGCCATACGGCCATACTATGTTCTTCTTAACTTTAATCAGTGGAGGGGGTGAAAATTTTCCAGACTGTTCTAAAGGGGTGGTCGGGTGGACTACATTTTTAAACACATTAAAAGGGAGGGTCATTTTTATTACGCTGTTTGAATTTTAGAATCCACCAGCTCCCCCCCCCCCAACCGATAAATAAAGAACCCTAAGTATTTTATATTTCCTGGTGTACAATTGACGTATTAAATTTGCAAAACACATAATAGACTACAGACGTATAAACAACATGGCAAACATGCACTTTCATGTACTACAAAAACTCTCTGACAGCCTGTGAGCAATATACTACATTTAAACCTTTTTAGAGTCTTAGAACATACAAATCTTTATTCTATATTAATGAATTACTTTTTCTACATCGTGCGAGGCTTCGAAATCCATCAATACGCATAGGAGAACGGGGCTGATGTTTTCTGGGGCAGTTGAAGGGTTTTATGGGAGAATGTAAAGAAATAACCTGATTTTTAACATATTTTCTCATAAATCTGTCCGAATTTCCATGATTTTCCAAAATTTTGGGGCGGCCCCCCCCGCCCCCTGTCTCGTACGCCTATGTCAATAAAGCATTTACAACATCAACATAATACGAAGCCAAAGTGAAAGTGTGAAAGAAACTTTAAAGAAAGCATGCTAATTCTCGTGTTTTACTCGTATGTACTCGTATGTTACTAGTATGTTACTCGTGTGTACTCGTATGTTACTCGTGTGTACTTGTATGTTACTCGTGTGTTACTCGTGTGTTACTCGTATGTACTCGTATGTTACTCGTATGTGCTCGTATGTGCTCGTATGTTACTCGCATGTACTCGTATGTTACTCGTGTGTACTCGTATGTACTTGTGTGTTACTCGTATGTACTCGTGTGGTGTTTTAGTCACGATCAAGCAAGAGCACAGTTTACAATTTTATGTAAACATTGATCATATTTCACTGGGGAATCAATCGATTGCAAATAAATACGCTCCTAGAAATACCCAAAATATAGAATTTATTTGAGAGAATATCGAGTTAAATACTCTGTATATTAATGCACTTATTTACTCTTCATTGAACATGTTCAGTTCAACAAAATTGGAAAATCGACCACACAGTATACTTTACGCGAACAGCGGTTATTTTATAATCGCTGACAAATATCAATTATTATCCTATCATGATTCTGGTTAAACAAATGTTCCGCCGAATACAACACTCAACAGCATTTTCTGAAGATTCTGCCTTTTCTTGTTGATATATAGAACTAAACCCGCCGACTGTTCATGTCGTTGAGTGAGAATCTATCGTCTATTATTTTATTAACGTCCAACCAAGCCTTAACTAACAACTTCGTCCCTTACAATAACCGTTATGACATATTTTATGAAAAATACATGCCAATAAAAACTTCGTTTCATGGTATAGTTCTTTGTGTTGCTTTATTCACACTCCTTGTATTGTTTTGAACTCGAACGCCAGATTTCCTTCCCTACCCCCATAAGTCCCAATTGTTATCTCCCAAAATCTGGGAGACACGTGACCAGGCTGGACCAGGGTCTTTCCTCCAGCGAGGCGCGTAGTGGAAAGACCCTGGGTACGAGGTTGATAAATGAATCGAAGAAGCTGAGGTGGTCTAAATGCTGACCTTAATAATGTCAGAGAATTGCCTTTATCAAACAGGCTTTGTCAACACGGAATATTTTTTGCTTGGTTCACAGTACAATATTAACAAGTTAGAAGAACAACCACGTGTTTTCAATGAGGATGAACCAATTAAAGGGTTCAGGTTACTAAAGCTCTTTGTGTCAAAACTGATCATGCAATTTTTAAGTTGGGATTGTTATATTGATAATATTTCAAAAAAATATCTTCAGGAGTAAGTGCTCTGCACTATTTAAAGCACGCGTACTATTTAATTAAAGGAAGAGTGTTTTATATGTGATAAAGGGCGACTACAAGTGCTTTAAATGACTTTCAAACACTCATTAATAATTCATAAGCTTATTGGCAAATCATGTCAACCATAATATGTCACGTGCAGTGGCTTTAAACCTGATAAAACACTCCTCATTAGTATTCTTTATATAAAGAATACTAATAAGGCAGTATCTATTGTTGTCGTGTCCTCATTAGTATTTTTTATATAAAGAATACTAATAAGGCGGTATGTCTATTGAATTTGTAGTCGTGTTTGAAGCCGTTTAATAAACTCGCAGGTCGTGTTTTATTAGGTCTAAAGCCACTTGCGCTGCACGCTCCTGGCTTTAAACCTAATAAAACACTGCTGCTCGTTTATTAAACAGTACTAAAAAAACGACTCGTCTTATGAGTTCATTTGCGAAGTAATTTTAAAAATAAACATCGTCTAAACCGAAGAACCAAGGCTAAAGTTTATGTAAATTAGCATTATTTTTTTATCACATATAAAACCACCGACACCGCAGTGATTTCCTTAAGCAAAAGATAAATGATTTCACTGATTCTGATACTTTGACGTCAGTCTATTATGGTCTTGTCCATTCCCATTTCGACTACTGTTATGAAGTTTGGAATTCCATTGATAAAGGCCAGTCTAAACGTCTATAAAAACTTCACAACAGATGTGCTACAATGATAATGAACTTTAAAGATGTGCCTGGTCAATCTCAACTGGCCCTTGATCAACAAGAGCGGAAGAGCCTGGAAGGAGGGGAAAACATAGTATGGCCCGGCTGATGTTTAAGGTTGTCAATAATATGGCAGCACCAAGGTTCTCATCAATGTTTCAGAATTTTGACCATATCCACAGTTATAAATTTCGAGGTTCCAATTTGTCTCTCTTCCTGCCGCGTCCAAATCAGTACCGAGTATGGCAGAAGATGTTTCCGTTACAGTGGGGTTAAAATCTGGAATAGCATTCCTGAACAAGTGAGAATTCTTTCAATAGGAGTACTTCCTCAGTTAGTCTGACGAATTAGCTATTGGACTATTGTACCATTTGTTTTGTAAGAGTATTTTGTATTTTCGTAGCTAATATATTGTTAGCAATTCAATTTTGTACTTCATATATTTTGTAACTTCTTAATTATTTGCGGCCCACTTGGAAAGCAGTTGCGGTTGAAGTGGCCAGCGTAGTCAAATAAAGTTTTATCCTATTCTATCCTATCCTAACCTCACTGTATTTACGACCGAAAATATATAGTATGGTTTTTATATCGGGCAAGCTGAAATACGTTTAGGTGACAGATTTTCTTAGCATCCTCGTGATTTGGAAAACAAGATGCACAGCAGTCTTGTTATACTGGGAACTACTGTATAACAGTTGCAATCACTTCTTTTCTCATATGAATGTTTGTGCCATTCATCCCATCACTGGGGGAAATGATATTCGCCAAAAACAGGAAATCGTCTCATATTCAAACTTTGTACTACTCTAAATGGTCTTAATGAGCGATTTGCTTTCATCTAACCCACATTCTGCCATTTCTTTCATTTACATCCTTTATATAATTATCACCTCATATCATATTTTTTGTATTCTATATTTAGGGATCGTTCATTATTTATATCTTATGGGCTGGGAGATTCTTGAGACATGTATATACATGATACAAGCCACCCGCTTGAGACATGTATACATGATACGATTCTAATCATCGTTTATGTGAATGTCTGACTATGAAGAAAATACATTTTCGAACATACACCATAAGAGCCAGAACGTTTGCTTGCATTGAATTTTACACAATAAAATCTTTTGTATTTAACAAAAATTTCCCACTCAGCAGAAATTCTTATTTGCAACATTGTATGTCTCCCTTCCCATTTTTCCCACCCCACCACATAGGGTATAAATAATGAACGCTCCCTTAAGTGGCGGTTCTTTATAGAACTTGTAATTTGCTTTCCTTTTTAATGCGAGGTGATGCCTGGTGTGTTTACATATTTTTTGATTTTGCTATGGTTACGTTGTTTGATTGGTTTATTTGATTCACGAGACTGAATTTGTAGTTTTATAAAAGCGGCGTGTTTTATTCCTACAAATATTCCTACAAACTGTCCTGACGAAGGGCCTTTGCTCGAAACGTGTGTGTAGATTGAGCGGCTGTTGAGAGAAATGTTGGTTTGAAGAACCCCTCGTTTCAACAGTGCTAGACGAACATTAGTGGCACATGTAAAGCTAACAAAATTCTAACGAAATTTTTTTTTCCCGTTATTAATTAACAATTATTCGCCAAAGGTGAGGTGATTATATATCGGGGAATATTCACCGAGACGAAGTTGAGGTGAATATTTCCCGATAATCACCGAGCCTGAGTTTTTTGTCTTTTTTGGTGCTGAATTTATTTTAATTTCTCTTATTTCTTTATCAGCACACTTTCACCTGTAGGTGAATATAACATCTTAATATGTCAAATTTGACCAATCGGGTTGTAGGATTTGTTATATTCACTTGTGCAAAAATACTAACGTTCATTATTGGATTCACAGCAGTTTTTAGAAACATTGATGTTGGGCTATGATATACCGGTAAGCAAGGGCGAAACTAGAGGGGCGTATGGGGGTGTGTGGAACCCCAAATACGAATCATCCCGATTGGCAGGGCAATCAAAGATTTTAAATGATAGAATGTTGAGTCATTAAGTAACTTATTACACCTAGCAAACAATAAGCAGTTCGTATGCAAGTTCATTGGCATCGGCAGTTCAATTAGACACATAGCTTAGTGATGTATTGTATTAGCGCTGGCGCTGCAGGGCATCATTGGTTTTGGCAGGGCAATTCTGCCAGACACCCCCTAAGGGGCTAGTTTCGCCCCTGACTGTAAGGAGAAAATAATGATATTTTAGGAAACAAACTGGCTTTTTACCACTATTGTACATGATGGCAAGCCGCGAAATATATATCTACATGATAGACGGCCAGCCAAGCTTGCAAAAAATGAAGTTCGATGGCAATTCTTTGTTAAAAGCAAGTAACATCGCTAAACACATTCGAATATGCATACTTATATTGGTTTGGGGTGTTACCATGCTTAACACATTCGAATATGCATACTTATAATGGTTTGGGGTGTTACCATGCTTAATTCGCAGTTTAAGTGCTAAAATTGAAGCATATTTTTGACCACAGGTAAACCCGCTTTGCTCTGATGTTGAAATATATTGAAATGTACAAAGTTCTTTTTCCCTGTTGCCATGCAACAAATAGACCATTCTCATTGGCTGTGACTAATTAGTCTCGCCCGCCCATTGGTTAAGAACACCGGAAATTGCATGTGCGATACGGCTGAAGCACAGACTGAAGTGTAAACAAATACATAAATATAATTCTTGACAAAATACGGAGATTTAAAGCCAATAAGTGTGATTTTTTACTTATATTTCTGCTTTATTAATACACATTTATACATACTCCTAGCTGTAAGGTTTCTTACATCCTAGCTGGGCATCACAGGAACATCTCAGGAGTGCAACGCTGACTAGTTTTATAGCATTTACAAGCACCCGTAGGGCATTTTTTAGTGCAACCACAATTGAGATATCAAATTTTACATGAAGACGGATTTGTTGTTCTACATTTATTTACTCCAGCTTCTATATTCGGTACCCCATATAACCGACAAACAAACTCTGCTGTGTCGTTTTGCGAACTGTCTCTGCCAAGATTTTGAATTATAAAATATGGTTGCTCAAAAACTTTCCAACATTTTTGCTTTCCGAACCACATTACAATTTTTTTTGCAAAATGTTTTTACAAAATTTTTTTACAAATTTTTTATAAACTTTTCGCTTTACAATCTTTTAGTAAAAGATGAGGTCGTATCACACCCTGTTAAAGCGTGAAATCCTAAAATATTATCAATAATGAGCTGATAGGCTTTCAGTAATTTCATGAACGGAATAGCATTTTCGTTGTTTTGCGTATTAAAACTAAAAGCAACAAAACATCTGTATCCCTGCAGCGTACTAAACCCTGTTAAAGCCCTTGGAAAACGCATCACAAGCATGCAAAATCATTTCATATAATCACAGAATAGACAAAGTGTAGAAGTATCCTGGATGGCATTTTGTTTTTCATGTAGCTATACTGGCAGCAAGTCGCCCTCTCGTTTTGACGATGAAGGATTCATGTTGTCAATGACTTGGATTATCAAATAAAATTATACCAAACCAGTTTTAAAGCTCAAATTATCTAAAAAACTAACGTAAGTTTAAACAAACTTTATATCATGTTGTCAATGACTTGGATTATTAAATAAAATTATACCAAACCAGTTTTAAAGCTTAAATTTATTATTATCTAAAAAACTAACGTAAGTGTAAACAAACTAAACTAGAAATAACTCGTAAAAATAAGTAAAATACAAGTACAACAGCGCGAATCAATGCTCATAAAAATCTCAAAAAGTAAATAAATCTATACCCAAACTAGTTTTAAAGCTTTAAACTAAACAACTAACGTAAGTAACGAACTAAAGTAGAAATTACTCGTGTTAAAAACAAAAACAAAAGTGCGAAGTAAGGCTGATAAAATGACTTTTTTGTTTGTTTTTTTATATTTGTAATAAATATTACACAAACTTGGTTTCCCTTGACTTTTCTTTTTTCCAATTTAATTTTCTTGTCCGTTTATGCTCGAATAACTCGGTTTACACTTGATTAAATCTCTTTCAACACAATATATAAAGTCCTTCCTTGTTGATTGTCAAAGAGGATATGATTTGGTTGCATTGCTCTCTGATTGGCTCACACATTTTCCAGCAGCTAATCAGAGTAGCTTATGGGGAAAAACATGCTTCTCGCATATCTAAATTAGATGTGTGAAAAACCCGCTTCGCCGTTCGTAGATGGGGTAGAAAAACCTCGATTTTTCCGTTGAAACTAAAAAACAAGCTTGGTAACAAGCAGATTCGTGTTCACTAAAGTCTAAGCTATTCAGTCATGCTTGTTACCAGCTTCTAACATGAAATTGCCATCGGAATTTTTTTGAAGCGTTTTTCGCAAGCTTGGCCGGCCGTCTAATGATAACTGTTTTGTCATATTTTAATTTGTTATTTAGATATATTGACAAGCAGTTGTTGCTACACGGTGAGATGAGTGTCCCACTGCGGCTCGCTTCCATCAAAGCTGGTTACAAATATGTGTTGTTGAATAATAAAGCTGTCTATGAAGAGCTAGTTGGATACCAATACATGATTGGTGGCTATGTGAACCGATGCCTTGTTCTTGAAGAAGAGAATGTTACAGAAAATAGTAAGTTAACTAAGTACTAAGGGTGCGAACTGTTACTGCATACATGGAATGTCTGGACAGGTCGAAATTGAAGTTCAAAGGCTAGATCAACAACTGATGCCAATATTTTGGCATATTTAACATTGTCGGTGGTCTTGATTCAAAATGCGGATCAGCCGAAATATGAATTAATTTTGGTTTTATATAATATACAGTATACCTATAGCATACATGTGAGAGTATCCAATAATCAGTAGTTTTTATTCTAATAAATTGTTTTCCAAATTATTGTTCGTCGTTTTAGAAATTTTCCACAAGTATGATGGATTTGTATACCCCAAAAGAGGATGGGTCAGAAATTTTTTCTTTTATGGATCTGCAATAAATGACAGAGGAGCATTCTTTCGAAACTTTTTCCCGAAGTGGAGCGGATTTTATGTAGATTCTTTTGATGAAAAAATTCAACTAGAAGAAGCACTAGAAAGGCTTCAATGCTTGGTTAACGGTACTACTTCTGTTTGGACATCTACCTCTGGAAATGCGGAGAATCATCCTATTGATTCTCAGAAACTAAAGCTCGAAGAGGTAGGTACTGTATAAACAGTAATTAAACAATCTATAGGAAATAGTAATAATTCGGGAACCATATATAGTATTGCAAAAACGAGGGCCAAAATCATCCGCCCCATTAACAAATATAGGCACCAGTATTTAATTCATCTTTATTAATTGACATATTATATCTACAACATACTATAGTTTTTATAGGTCGAAGCAATAGATATCTATACTTCTCGCAGCATTTAATATATACTGTAAATGCTATTTTCCCTGTATTTTTGCTGGGACTGCATGCATTAGAAGTGTGCAAATCGGAACAAAAATATTCATTTCGGATTGAATCGGATTGATAAAGTTGTTTCGTAGTCGGATCGGACTTCGATATTCGAAATAAAATGAATTAATTATCCACGACAACGCGATTGTCTCTGCATTATTCGTTTGATACTTCAATTGAACGTCAGCTTCTTAACATAGGTGCATTTTGTCTGTGCATGCGCGAGAATCGTTCCGTGCGATTGCAAATGGCGGCTAGTAAAGGGTTTGTGAGTTTTGTCATGGTTTTTATGAAAAATATGGATTGAATTTTTGTTCGATCTCTCAGAATTCGTGTTAATCCTACGCAGGTAAGGGTATTAGTTTTATCCCCGAGCCGACGGCGCGAAGCGGCGTGCGAGGGTACTAATTCGCCCCGGCTATTTACACCCGGGGTAACGAAAGCATTAGCGAAGTCTAAAGTTCATCAATCATCGCGGGCGTGGGTCACCAACGGTGTTCGAGTGTTGGGTGTGTGGTCATCCTCACCGGTCTAAAAAATATGGCGGACTGTCATGAATAGCGGACGCTGATTGGTCCAATTTAAAGTTTGCATTATAACGACTGCATGACGACAGCGAAATAGCAAACATTTCTTGATTTGATGATTGATAAATTTCTTGCAAATATATTTCATTTTTGCTCGCATTCTTGCAAGATTTTGTGCAAAAGCTCTCTCAGAACGAAACTGCGAAAGAATCGGCTAAAAGAAGGGAGCCGACGTTAACGGAAGTAAGTTTGTTTTAAATATTGATTTTATAATTATGCCTTCAAAACCCGACGGCCTTTGCGTATACACGGGCAATAGGACAGGTGTAGTGTTGTTAAATAGAAAGTTAGTAATGGTATTATACTTACTCATGCATTATAATTATGTTTAAAAGATCAGAATATTCATAACTTATGCATCCAACTTATGACAACGATGTTCCTACCCTCTTATTTTCTCCTTAATTTTTCTCGCTTGCTTATTATTTTGCCAGGAGGGGCGGCAATGCCGTGCAGCATGTAGATTGGGACGAGTAAACATGGCGATGGCAGACGAAGCAGATATGGAATTTGTTTCGAATATTAAAGAACTATTTATGAAACAAAATAAGAAGTTATGAATATTCTGATCCTTTAAACATAATTATAATACATGAGTAGGGCCTAAGTACAATACCATTTCTAACTTTCTATTTAACAAAGTGTTGTTATATGAAACAACTAAACAAGACAGCATATAATTTTTTAAATAAAAAAAGAAAGCAAAATTATTTGCATGCGAGAATTTGAAATCATTTTATTGCAAGCTCAAAGTTTATCGATAAAGCCATTTAATTAAAGGCAGTTTAGTTTTATAAAGAACACTTTAAAAACGTTTTGCGAAGCGTTTGTGGTTGAATTTTACCTTAAATTGAATCTTATACAGTATTACGTATAATAACATATCTAACATATATAAGTTGGGAAACTGATAATTTTGTAATTAAAAGTGATATTTTTAGGCGATTTTTCATTTGTAAGAATATTCTTATAAAATTATCGTGTTACCATGACAACTACTTTAGATACTTCATGTTCGGAAAATACAATGGTTTTGTCAGCAAGGCGAGGGTTTCTGCATGCATGTATTTTCTAGTTACAGTTTTAATCTCTCCAAAATTCATGGTCTTTCGTTTAAATTTTCGTCATTTGCTCGACACGTTGCTTGCCATTATAGTCCCCATTTCTATAGTCAGTTGAGCTTAATTATGTAAGTTACTCGCTTGTTTGGCGTGTTTTCTTGTTTTAAATATGTTTATAGTCTTTCCATGTTTAGATATTCTTGAATAGTATGAGTAATTAATGAAAATCTACTGCCATAACTTTCGGATCAATATGGCTGTGTGCATTTGCTTGAATGGAGATCTTGTAGTAAACCCTATACCGTTGCTTTAGGTTTAAATTTTCCCAAATAATATATTTGCTGGCAAATTTTTTTTTGCTACTTTCTCATACAACCAGGTTGTATTAAGTGTTAAAAATGTAGCAAATCCTTGATCCCTGTTATTTACAAATATATTGATGCAATACAGGGTCTGTGAGAAGAACCCAAATTCCAAAATATATAACAAACTTCTATTTGTGTGTGGTGATGAAAATATCAAAAGTGAGTCATACAAACTTTCCCATATTTTTTTCTACAAATTGTATCAGGTCTCATGATGGAAAGAACATCAAGTTTGAGAGCAAAAAATTTGGAAAAGGGTACTTTTAGCACAGTCATGTCCTGAGCAGCCCATGCTCCAAGCATATAAGGGGCTACCTGATGGTAAGTTGTAAAAATATTTTTATTAAGTATTGGTGAGTTTTCAGTGATAATGTTTTGTTGTAGAACAAGGTGTTATTCCATTGTTTTAAATTTACAAGATTTAATGTTCATGTGAGGTATTTATCTGAACAAAAATATTGTTAAGATTACCATTTCTGGTCACATATGTTAATTTATGGGGTTTAATTGACCTTCAAGGTCAATAAATAGGAATTCTTAAAAATCTGCACATACAAACTTCACTAAAACAGCATATGTTCTTC